TCCAGACTGAGTCCATTGGGGCCGGACGTCCCAGAATAATCTGCTCCCATCAATTAGAGCCACGTTCAGCTTTAATCAAGTGCGTTTACACCTAATGGGATGTGCTAACCACATTTGCCCTCGTACCTGGGCCTGTCTCTTTCTGGGAATAGACTTTTAATTAATATGAGAGCGGACAGGGGGTTTAATGAGACGCGAGACGGTTTTTCATTAAGATGTGATTGCTGATAGAATTATTTCACTTCTCGGTGAATGGATCTCTGTTGGTTTTGCTTCAAGAGCCTGAATTTTGTGACCAAACACTATAGCAACGTTCTTTTTTTGTGCAAAGGTAAACACTGTTCTTTACCATGGTATTCCTCACTTAGGCGTCAGAGTCACACTTGTGTGGTCAAAACAGACCGAAGACAATTATAGTTAATTAAAACTAGAACTGGAACCAAAATGAAAACCATATGAACATTTGTGACCCTGGAGCACAAAAGCAGTGTTAAGTCGCTGGGGTATATTTGTAGCAATAGCCAAAAATACATTGTATGGGTCAAAATGATTGATTTTTCTTTTATGCCAAAAATCATTGGGACATTAAGTAAAGATCGTGTTCCATGAAGATATTTTGTAAATTTCCTACCGTAAATATATCAAAACTTAATTTTTGATTAGTAATATGCATTGCTAAGAACTTAATTTGGACAACTTTAAAGATGATTTTCTCAATATTTAGATTTTTTTGCACTCTCAGATTCCAGATTTTCAAATAGTTGTATCTCGGCCAAATATTGTCCCATCCTAACAAACCATACATCAATGGAAAGCTTATTTATTTGTACAAACCATACATCAATTGACCCTTATGACTGGTTTTGTGGTCCAGGGTCACATTTTCGTTACTTGAAATAAAGTAGACGGTAACTGAAGTAAAATAAATATAAAAAAACTTTTTACTTCATTATTTTAATTTAGTTTAGCTTGGTGTACTAAAATAAATAAAACTGAAATAAAAACAGAATAAAAAATAGATATTTATTTAAAATAAAAAGTACTAAAATGACTAACGATTCAAACGAAAACAAAGTATAAAAAAAGATTCAAAATATTAATCAAGACTATAACAGTTTTTCAGTGATACAAAAATAACAACGAATACAAAAAGCATAACTTTTTCTCTTTTTTTAATGAAATGAATGTATTATGTTGTTTCAGTAATATTTATTCTTTAATATTTTGTATTTTGAGGGGAAATTGTGGTACTACACTATTCATTAAATTACACACCATTTATTTTTAAATACAAATATTAGAAACAATACAAATATAAAAATTAAAATTAAATTAAAATATTTCAATTATACACACATATGAATGTATATGCATTTCATATTTCAATTTCAAACATAATTACTTACTTTACATTTTGAATTTGAATATATATTTAGACATTATCAAAGACTTCATTGCGGCTGACTTGTATTTTGTATCCCCTAAAATTTTTCCGTACTCGGTTTTTATTTTAATTTTTTTCCCATTCATTTCCTATGATGGTCGTATTTGACCACGAAGATCACAAGTTTGACTTTTTTTTTTTTAAAGACCATTTTAACTTTTCTAATCATGTTAACATTTTTATGTGTGTTTATATAAAGTGCTGCAAAAGTCAAAAGTTTCATACTATTCCGATGAAGTAAATATTGTAATATTTCAAAATGTAACATCTTTCAGTCTAGAGCAGGGGTGGCGAACGTCAGAGCCGCAGCCCTGCAGAGTTTTGCTTCAACCCTAATCAAACACACCTGAACAAGCTAATCAAGGTCTGAAGGGTTACTAGGAAGCTACAGGCAGGTGAGTTTTAATTAGGGTTGGAGCTGAACTCTGCAGGGCTGCGGCTCTCCAGGACTGACGTTCGCTACCCCTGGTCTAGAGGGTTAAAATTTGCCTTCATCTTTGTTATGTTCCTCCTGTCCAGAACTCATCAGAACAGACCTGCGACCCACCAGTTGAGATCCAGTGCTCAGAGTCTAAAATAACCACAGACAGTTGTGGGAGGATGAATTACATGACTGACCTACAGCTGAGTCGAGGTCAGTTTTGGATATGTGAGCTCTGCTTCCTGAACGCCAAAACCGTGTGGTGCATCAGTGACCAAAATATGCTTTATTTGTGGACGTCTGAAAAGAAAAGCAGTGCACTTTGGTGTCATTTCGCAGTTGTAGACTGTAGGGTGAAACTCCAAGATTAGGATGAGTTTGTTTCTTCATCAGATTTGGAGAAATGTAGCATTGCATCACTTGCTCACCAATGGATCCTCTACAGTGAATGGGTGCCGTCAGAATGAGAGTCCAAACAGCTGATAAAAACATCACAATAATCCACACCACTCCAGTCCATCAGTTAATGTATTGAGAAAAAAGCTACATGTTTGCATTATTTTGATGTTTTTATCAGCTGTTTAAACTCTTATTCTGACGGCACCCATTCACTGCAGAGGATCCTCTGGTGAGCAAGTGATGGAATGCAAATGTAATGTATCTAATTTTCTGTTTATTATAGGTTCACTACCCAGTTCCAAGATCTATGCACTAAATGCATGACTATAGGGAAAGTGTTTAGTTCAGTTGTATTCTCAGAGGAAGCTTCCACATTCATGTGTTGCCAAAGCAGCTCACGACATGTTAATTTTAGCTCCGGAGGAAAACGCATCAAACTATGAAGTCTGTGACTTGTTGTATGTGGAAGTTGCACAGAAATATGGGATAAAACATAGTTAAGATTTGTCTTAGTGGCTGTAGCAGCCTCTCTGTGGCTTCATGAATTATGAATGTCAGTCCCAGTCTTGCTACTATTTTTAATTTCCTATATGCAAATAGGATTAAGACGCTGGTGTGTGGGAACGCATGTGCGCCGCATGTGTCTTTAGACATGCAAACGTGTTTCTTCATCTTTAGAGCTGCATCACTGAATGTGACTGAATGTGCAGCTATTTTTGCGTTTATAACTCTTTTTTGCTTTGACACAGTGTGAATGTATTCGCAGAAAGTGAAAGATAGAAAAACAGCTCTGATCCAGATCCAGAGGTAATGTGTATTTATTGCAATAATTAGTCAATAATTAATAGTTTTGTCATTTAGCTAACAACAGTAATAGGACTTAAAGTACAAACTTAACATGAATCATTATGCTCATGAATTATTTCTTTTGGGATTTGAACCTACAACCTGTTGGGTCTTTAACTGCCAGGCTACAGCACCCGTTTGTGAGCGAATCTGTGGTTGGTTTCTGTTTTTTATGGGAAAGACCCCTGGATACTGTACTGAGCTCATGTGAGTCAGACATGATGAATCACTCCATTAGGTTCAGTCCGGTAGTGATTCGCTCTCTGCTCTAGATAAACCAAACCCTGTTTTGCACAGTTTAGAAAACACCATCCACCTTTAAATGGATTTTTCTACTTTGCAATATTACTCACTTTGATTATATCTAGTCTCTACATTGTGACTAGATACACTATTCTTTTTATCCACCTAATTTAGCAACCCGAAAGTAAGCTATTTTCCGAGACTTCCGGTTCATTAGCCGGTAAATAGAAGAATGGTAAACAGTAAAACTATATGAAAGTGACGTGAAATGTGGCCAAGTATGGTGACCCATATTCTGAATTAGTGCTCTGCATTTAACCCATCCTAAGTGCACACACAGAGCAGTGCACACACACCGTGAACACACACCCGGAGCAGTTGGGGGTTCGGTGCCTTGCTCAAGGGCACCTCAGTCGTGGTATTGAAGGTGGGAGAGAGCGCTGTACATTCACTCCCCCCACCTACAATCCCTGCCGGTACGAGACTCGAACCCGCAACCTTGGGTTACGAGTCCGACTCTCTAACCATTAGGCCACGACTCCCCCATGCGCTACAAACCAGATGTTTTGTACAGCTAAAATTACTTTTTTTTTTCCAGGTATGTATTTTATTCACATAAATATTCCATCATCAGTGAGCGTAGCTTGACGTTAATTAAGTGACCGCTTTGATTGATTTAAAGGGGTCATATGATGCTTTTTTTAAAAGATCATTATTTTGTGTATTTGGTGTAACAGAATATGTTGACATGCTTTAATGTTCAAAAAACACATTATTTTTCAAATACTGTACATTATTGTAGGTCCTCTATGCCCCGCCTCTCTCAAACGCTTCGTTTTCTACAAAGCAGTTCATTCGGTGAAAGATTCATCAGACTGATTCAAACTGTAGCGAACTGAGTTTGTGAATCTTTTTGAATGACTCATTAAAAGGAGTCGCTCAAAGTCGTAATTTGTTCGTGAATGTGACTGTACAGTACTGGTTGCATGTGTTTGATTCACTTAAAAGAACCGGTTCATTCGAATCTTTTGTTTGAATCAACAGCTCAGTGGCGTTATTCTTGCCACGATTTTCTTTTCATTTTGTCTTACCGCGATCAGTTTGTCTTTCAGATTCGGGTAAAATATGACTTATTTAGCAGTGGCGTTGTAGATTCATCCACAAAGATACCGAAGAGCGGTTTAGACATTTACGGTTACATTTGATAAGCTTTGAACGAACGAATGAATGAGTGAATGAATATTGACTTGGTACAGGTTTCTAGACACACATATATCAGTAGAACAGCGTGTCTATCATTCTTTATACAGACATCTCTAAATAATTTTTTCACGTCTCAGATTAGTGCCTAAAATAAGAACTCAAGTTTCGTTTGCATTTTGTTGGGATTGTTCCAGAGATATTATTCCAACCAATCCCCAAAAACTATTACGGAATTCATTTTTATTAATAAAATATCCCTTATTCCAATAAATCTGTCTATGAAAATAAACGTGGTTAAAATTAACCCAAGCAACCATCATATTTATATGAATATATTGATGCCGAAAGCCACTGAGGAGAAAGGGTGTGTCCTTGAGTGAGAGAGAGAGAGAGAGAGAGTGAGAGAGCGAGCGCTTGTTGCTCTTGTAGCTCGAGCCGCAGGTGATGATGGACCGATAGAAGGAAGAGCTGCTGCTTCCGCGCCTCGTCTCTCACCTGTCACCGGTGTTCATCCGAGCCGCTCATTCCCCTACGACACGCGCTCGGTTCGATCCTTCACTTCAATGAGGCTGTTCGTGAACTATTGGAGTACTCCAGCTTCGCCACAGCAGCACCGTAGAGTAACGTTACTCCCCTCGCGCCATGTCTCACTCTGAGAGATGGGCAAGTTCGACGATCACGAGAGGGTGATCCTCAACGTCGGGGGCACGAGGCACGAAACCTACCGGACCACGCTGAAGACCCTGCCGGGAACGCGTCTGGCCCTGCTCGCCTCCGAGTCGGACCTCGAGTCGGTTCTGGACCAGCTGCAACAAGTCCCGGGCTTCATCGAGTACAACGCGCGCAGCAACGAGTACTTCTTCGACCGGCACCCGGGCGTCTTCGCCTACGTGCTCAACTACTACCGGACCGGGAAGCTGCACTGCCCGGCGGACGTGTGCGGGCCGCTGTTTGAGGAGGAGCTGTCCTTCTGGGGCATCGATGAGACGGACGTGGAGCCGTGCTGCTGGATGACCTACCGACAGCACCGGGATGCCGAGGAGGCGCTGGAGGTGTTCGAGATGAACGTGGACAACGACGAGGACGACGAGTACGGCAAGCGGCTGGGCATCGAGGACGTGGTGTCCCCGGACGGTACCGTCTGCAGGTGGAGGAAGTGGCAGCCAGTCATCTGGAACCTGTTCGAGGACCCGTACTCCTCCAGAGCCGCCCGGGTAAGAGCGCAGCTCGGAGTCGCCAAACGGTTGCGCGCGGCTCCTTTACGCACTCGCGCTTCCAGTGTATCCAAACAACGCCGAAACTCATGCACGCGTGTAGATAAGTCCGTTTTGTGTTTAAATTACCATGCATACTACTAAACGTGCCTGAGACGCGTTAGTAAAGAGTAGAGAGAGTCTCCTAAAACGTTTAAATGTGTTCAAAGTTGATGCAATGTGAGTGTGCATGCATCTAAACCAATGCGTAATGGTTAGAAAGGTATCGGAGAGGCAGGTGTCACATATTAAGACCAAATCGAGACAGACTTGGCAAACACATCAGAGACAGTGCATGCATGAGTGTTTTTCATCTAAACGTGCGTAATCTCCAGATATGCGTTGGTAACAGGTGTCCAGAACATAGAACTTCTACAGTGAAGGCATTTTTATCCTCTGTTAAAATAGTCTTGGTTAAAATTGGCCTGATTGAGGGAGAGAAAAGAATCGCAGCCCTCCCACACTTATGGGAAGCGTAATGGAGGTTATGCGTTAGTCACCATTTGAGATGTTTTAATTAAACGATTGGTTGGAAGAGACTGGTAACTTGAGTGGAAAAGATTAATTATTGAGATCGTTGCAGGTGAATTCAGATGCACTGCAGAGATCAGCCAGATACAATTTTAAAGAGCTTTTTCTTTGTGCTGCTTTGGGTTCTGGGTAATGTCTTTTTTGCTCTGATTATATGCAGGCCATTGAGAAATCTAGTGTGTTTTAGTTCAAAATTCCCATTTTTATTGTTGTTACTAAGCAGTTTTCTGATACATTTTTTTATCTGCATATTTTAAATGGCAGTTGTTTCACTGAATTTTTTTTATTTGGAATAAATTGTCCTTATTTCTCTAAAGAGAGATTGGTTTTGACATTAAAAGAATAGTTCACCCAAAAATGTACATTTGCTGATAATTTACTCACCCTCAGGTCATCCAAGATGTAGATGAGTTGGTTTCTTCATCAGATTTGGAGAAATGTAGCATTGTCACTTGCTCACCAATGGATGTGAATGGGTGCCGTCAGTCGTGTGCCGTGCGTGTCTGCTCGTTTCCTCTGGCGCCGTTTGAAATGAGTGTGTTTGACATTGTTGTGTGTGGATGATTCATGCGCTGGAAGAATAGCACGGTCATACAGAACGTGTGTGCGTTTATGTGGGCACGGATGATCTGAATGCTGATGCTGGCAGCCGGTGTCTTTCAGCCTAAACTTTGCTGTCAGTCATTTTCTTTCGATCAGTCGCCGAGCGCTGATTATCTCGGCGAGTTTCGAGTGTGTTGAGGCTGTGTGCGTCTTCGTGGGATGTTAGTGTCCATGTTGTGCGATTACAGTAATGAAACATGATCTTTTAAGAACAAGCCTTGAGTTGATGATGATGAAGTCATTGTGTATGTACATGCACAATTAGTACCATAATGTGATTAAAAGTTTGGAATAGTTAAGGTGTTTCAAGGCTGCATTTATTTGATCAAAAATCCTGTAAAAGTTGTGAAATATTATTACAAAAAAAAACGTTCTCATAGTATAAATTAGAATGATTTCTGAAGTATCATGTGACTCTGAAGACTGGAGTAATGATGCTGAAAATAGATAGAAACGGTTATTTGGAATTGCAATAATATTTCAGTTTTACTGATTTTACTGGATTTTTCATCAAATAAATGAGCAAAAAAGACTTCTTTCAAAAACATTAAGAATCTTAATTACCGGTATTAATTAATTAATTAGCACTTTTTAAAAAATTATTATATTTTAATTTGGGAGTCACACTTGTGTTGTTCAAAATGTAAGATTTCATGTAAAAATGAAATGTAACTTTTTTTTATTTTCAGTAAAATCAATGAAATATATTTTGGTTCAATAATATTTTTCTTTTTTTTTAATGTATTTTGAGAGAATTTCATGGTACTAATTTATATTTATGCAATAATTATGATAATTTTTTCCCATTGAAAATAATAAAAATAAAAACGAATATTTTTATATTACTTTTCAATTATGGCATATTGCATGTTAAAATGGAAACAATGCCTTTAAAATCCTATTTTTTTAAGGCAGATTAGTGCCATTTGGTGGGAGTAAAAAAAAAAAACTTGCATGCGATTCCACGGTTTAGCCACTAGATTCCTATAGAGCTCTACATAAAAGGCGTATAAATTCTCTAGTTGTTTTTAGACATAAATACTTATTTTTATTAATTTGTTGATTTGGATATATATTTAGACATTCTCAAAGACAACTTTTGTAAAGGTTTATTTTTTGGGGGTTGAAATGTTGGTTTGAAATGCCAGTTTTTGCATGAATTTTACTAAAGTCAAACCTGAACACAGAGAAAGACATTTTATTGCACATAACATCAAAATTCAACAAAAATGTAACAAATTAACAGGAATGCTTTATCAGAGGTTAATCAATCTGATTTCAACTTCTTATTTGAGTCTTCTGGCTCAATTTTGCCATATTGTTACAGCCACACCAGTTCATTTGTGTGCGTGTGTGTGTGTGTGTGTGTGTGTGTGTGTGTGTGTGTATTTTGTACTCTTGATGATTTAGAGTGACACCCCTTCATTGCTGTGCACTTTTTTTCTGCATTGTGAATGATTTGTAGATTGTACTCACAAAAAATTCTCTGTATTTTCATATTTTTGAATATTTCCCATTCATTTCCAATGGCGGTCCTTTTTTGACCATGAACAACACAAAATCACATGTGAAACACATGTGAGGTTCACATGTGATTCTAACATGTGATTGCACATGTGAAGTTCATGTGCTTTTTCTGTAAGGGAAGCTTTTTAAAGGGAAGCTCAAATGTGCATGCTTGACATACACACACATATATATACAGTGGGTACGGAAAGTATTCAGACCCCCTTAAATTTTTCACTCTTTGTTATATTGCAGCCATTTGCTAAAATCATTTAAGTTCATTTTTTTTCTCATTAATGTACACACAGCACCCCATATTGACAGAAAAACACAGAATTGTTGACATTTTTGCAGATTTATTAAAAAAGAAAAACTGAAATATCACATGGTCCTAAGTATTCAGACCCTTTGCTGTGACACTCATATATTTAACTCAGGGGCTGTCCATTTCTTCTGATCATCCTGGAGATGGTTCTACACCTTCATTTGAGTCAAGCTGTGTTTGATTATACTGATTGGACTTGATTAGCAAAGCCACACACCTGTCTATATAAGACCTTACAACTCACAGTGCATGTCAGAGCAAATGAGAATCATAAGGTCAAAGGAACTGCCTGAAGAGCTCAGAGACAGAATTGTGGCAAGGCACAGATCTGGCCAAGGTTACAAAAAAAAATTCTGCTGCACTTAAGGTTCCCAAGAGCACAGTGGCCTCCATAATCCTTAAATGGAAGACATTTGGGACCACCAGAACCCTTCCTAGAGCTGGCCAGACCTAAAAATGGCTGTCCACCAACGTTTACCATCCAACCTGACAGAACTGGAGAGGATCTGCAAGGAGGAATGGCAGAGGATCCCCTGAAAAACTTGTTGCATCTTTCCCAAAAAGACTCATGGCTGTATTAGATCAAAAGGGTGCTTCTACTAAATACTGAGCAAAGGGTCTGAATACTTAGGACCATGTGATATTTCAGTTTTTCTTTTTTAATAAATCTGCAAAAATGTCAACAATTCTGTGTTTTTCTGTCAATATGGGGTGCTGTGTGTACATTAATGAGGAAAAAAAATTAACTTAAATGATTTTAGCAAATGGCTGCAATATAACAAAGAGTGAAAAATTTAAGGGGGTCTGAATACTTTCCGTACCCACTGTATATATATATATATGTGTCAAGCATGCACATTTGAGCTTCCCTTTAAAATACTTAATATTTGCTGTGCTCTACATGTGTGCATTGTTGAATGTTTATACAAAAATAAAAGCCTTTATTAAATTGATGCTTGAAAGATTTTTTATCCATATTAAGTAGGGATGCTGCCTTTTTCTGCCGGATCAGGTATCGGTCAGATGAGACTGATCCAAATCCGATATTGTGCGTATACTATTCTGTTATTAATATTATTAAGCCCCATGAAAGGCACAAGAACATTATAAAGCACTGTAAAGTTCTGTGCACTGCATTCCAAGTCTTCTGAAGCAGATCCATAGTTTAATGTGAGTTTCAAATTAGAAAACATGAGGAGCAAATAACAGTCTAAAATGTTAAAGGGGTCATATGACGTTGCTAAAAAAGAACATTATTTGGTGTAATGCAATGTTTATAAGGTTTAAGGTTCAAAAAACACATTATTTTCCACATACTGTACATTATTGTTTCTCCTCTATGCCCCGCCTTTCTGAAACGCGTAGATTTTTACAAAGCTCATCGGTCTGAAAAGCGAGGTGTGCTGTGATTGGCCAGCTATCCAGTGCGTTGTGATTGGCTGAATACCTCAAGCGTGTGACAGAAATGTTACGCCCCTCACCATACTGTGATGATGCCCTGTCCCGGCACGACAAGACAAAAACATGAAAACCCATTATAAACGAGACATTTGTTGCATCCAGTGGAGACATAATTACGGATCATAATGACTTATATTGTCTTTTTATGCGTTGTTGCATCGCGCCGCGTAAACATAAAACCCTGTCTGCATTTGTGATCAGAGCAATGACAAACAACAAGTGCTACTCTACACTGCTCAAAACTCACGTTTGAATAATCATTGGCAAATTCTTTAAATATGAAAACATACAGTCTGTGAGTCAGAACAGCCGGCATTGTAGTCTACTCTCCCAGGATCAGGAAACAGTCCTCCATAAAATGCGCTGCACACATCTGAATATTTGGGTTGAACTGTTCTGGAACAGTGTTGTAAATACAAATTAAAGGCACAATATGTAATTTTCGCCGCTAGAGGGCACGTATTAAAAATAAACAAATAGACAAAGGCGTAGTTTGATGACGCCGTGACTGAGTGTGGAATCATGGGAGTTCTGG